TCACCCACCTGTTCAATGATTATGCTTCATTAATTGGCAGAAGTTGATTTGTCTATCCAACAGAAGAGAGCTTATTATTATTATTATATCCTTTAATTCCTAGAGGAACATAGGGCTTCAACTGCGCACCACCATTGCCTTCTGTTTTCTGCCAACTTTTTCACTCCGCTCCAAGTCTGCCTGCCCACATCTCTGCTTTCATCTCATCTTCACATGACCTCCTCCAAGTCAACCTTGCACTGACAACCAACTCACCGCCCGCTTCCCTTTCGGCTGGGTTCCAGTCGACCAATAGCTTGTCTAGTGATGTCACTTGATGGCTAGCCAATCCATCTCCATTTCTTTCTGCTTATTTGTTTCACAATCGGTTCCTGCTACATTGGTTCGCTCAATGCCAGAGATCCCTGTTGGTGATCTTTTCTGGCCAGCCATCTGATCTTGAGTGAAGTATTGAGCGAAGACAACTGTTAACGAAGGTCTGTAGTTTGTTTGAGATGCTCTTTATGACACGCTGGCCAAGTGTCTGATCCGTATAGTGAGTAGCACTGACTGACTTCACATTGGATTTGAAAACCTGGATCTTAATTTTAATGCTGAGTGCAGTTGACCTTCACACTTACTTTTCAGACCCTTGCTTTGATATCCTGGTCGATTCTGTTTGCCTTTAATTCCTCTCCTTTGTCCTGATTGTTGTCTGTTGTTGTTGCTGTTGGCCAGGAATCTTCATCACCACATCCGTTTTATCTATGTTCAGCTGAAGTCCTCTCTTCTCTGGATGCTTCTTCTGCCGGGTTGTTGCTTTTCATCTGCATATCTTCTAGTTTGTGGGAAATCAGACATATGCCATCATCGGCGAAGTCCACATCCTGCAAGTTTTTTGTGTGAGTCCATTTTATGCCCGTTTCCTCATCGCCCGTTGTCTATCGCATTATCCAATCTACTGCAATCAGGAAGATCATTGGTGATAGTAGACAGCCTTGCCTCACTCCCGTCCTCACTTCAAAGGCTTCCGTAAGTTTCCCGTTGTGGATTACTTGGCATGCAGCATTGTCGTATAACTGTTGGACGAGATGTATAATTGTCGATGGGACCCCGTAGTAGCGAAGTAGTTGCCAAATGACCTCTCAACCGACGCTGAGCTGTCGAAGGCCTTTTCAAAGTCGATGAAGTTGAGTGAGGTGGTGAGGTGACTGCCATTCCAAGCTTTGTTCAATGGTGATCCGTAGAGTGGCGATTTGATCAATACACGGTTAATGCTATGTTATTCTTTGGGAGGCTTCAACACAACACATCTCGACTTTGTGCTGTTTTCTGTTGGCTTCTTCAGCTGACTGAGTTCATGACTGTGCTTGATCTCGAGTGATGGCCAGTATTGCACACTATGTCATTCGATGCCCCCCTCAACGTATGCTCACAACCGACGTATCTCACTTTTCTCCTCCAATATATTTGTTGAGTGATCGGCTCTCGCCTGTTAGTTTATTCCCAGCCAACCAGAGTACCCTATTGCTAATTCTTTCCTACCGACCATTTCATCTTCAGTATAGAGCGAAGGTGACAGCTGTTGACAAAAGTCTGCGGTGGCTTGCTGGCAATGATTTTCGTGACTCACGTGCAGTGCAAGTTTCTGACCCGCATATCAAAGAACTGACTGACTTAATACTGGTGTTTAAAATCCGAATCTTGTTGTTTATGCTGGTTGGTTGAGTGGAATGCGGAAGATTTTCAAACTGGTTTCACGTTGATGACTGCTTATCTTGTCTTCCCAATTCTGGCTGACTGGCTTCGATATCTTCAACCTTTCCGCTGGCTGTGTTTGGAACGATGTTTCCTGTCTGGATAAGTGAAGAATGTAACCTCTGTCAAATCTCTCCCGTTGATGGTACTTAGTGCTGGTTACTGTTTCTGCTGCTGTTCGTAGTTGGTTAGTTGTCTTCATCACCTCTACCCGTCTTCTCTATGTTCACCTGGAGAGTCCTGTCTTCACTGCCTGCCTATCTCTTCAGCCATTTTGTTGGTTTACCCCTTCCTGCAAGTCTTCGAGGTTGTTTGATATCAAACATATATAATCTGCACGTAAAATCCAGATCTTTTAGAGTCTTGTTATCGGTGGTCCAGTGTATTCCTGTCTCCTCACTCCCAACGCACAGTCTTCCACATAATCCAGTCAGTCCACCACACTTAAGAATACCATCGTAAGTGACAATAGGCAGCCAACCTTGTCTTAATCCTGCATTCACTTGGAACGCTTCACTGGGGTGAACACGTCAATACTGAGGCAAATTTGTGTCTTGATATATATTACGATTGTTGAATAGAACCACAGAAGTGTGGCGATTCAAACTGCTGCACATCGGTGCAAAGTTCTATGTTGAAACCTGTCAGTCAGTCAGTCAGTCAGTCAGTTAGTCAGTTATTCAGAACCACAGATTTTACTACAAACAGCTCTTTTTTGCTGTTTCGGGAGCTTTTTGTGACTGTGAGTAACTTAAAAGTGTTTTGTTCAGCTACAGAGTAGATTGCAAAGATCGGTTGCCTTTATTCGAACCCCACCACTCCTGTTTTGGTCGTTGCAGAGTTTGGATGCCTTTTAGTTCATTATATACAACACCTGTCGCTAAACATTCACACACTGAGAAGAAACAACATTTCAGTATTCATTGCCTTTCAATGATTGTCTAATTATTCATGTGTTGGCTTGTAGGGATTTGATTGGTTTCAGGATTTCATCATGAGCTGACATTAGTTAGAGAACCATTGGAAAACCTGGGAGTACTGGACAGTTGTTTCGTCCTAGTTTGGGACTCTTCAGCAGTACGCACCCACCGGGATTCGAACCCAGGACCTTCCGGGTACAAGGCCAAGGAGCTCTCAGATCATTAAGCCACTGGGACCCAATCCAATGGTCCTTGAATTTTGCCTTCTGCCAATTCACGACATAGCGCGACCACTAGCCGATGTCTTCGGCAAGTATTTGTCCTCACACCCGACCGCTGCCCCCGATGGGTGCGCACTGATGAAGAGTCCCAAACTAGGACGAAACAGCTGTCCAGTACTTCCCGGCAGGTTTTTCAATGGTTCTCTAACTAACGTCAGCTCATTATGAAATCCTGATTGTCCAATTAATTCAAAGGACTTCGAGTGTCCTCTATGAAAAATGAATCCGATGCTCACGTCTGGTGCACATGTCACTGATCCTCGTTCAGATGACACACTCACACACATGCACACATGCAGACACAGGCATACAAACCCTTATGTCTCAATATCATTTCGTTAAATAATAGAGACTACTGAAAAAAAGAGAGGTATAAGTAGTAACGAGTTGTTTTTGTTATTTTCGTTATTCACATTTCCGAGTAAATGAAATAATATTTCCAAGAGGTAGTTTGTTGGGATTCCATATGTTTCTCAAGTTTCTCCATAGATTAATCATCAGTTAGAGAACCGTGGAAAACCACCACAGAGAGAGTACAGGACATCCAGATGTTTCGTCTTACTAGTTTTTGGGACTCATTGTGATTACGCACCCACTGCCCGGATTTGCGTCCACCCAGGAAGCATCGTTTCAAGCACACAGGCAGTCGGGAACGGACGAAGATGTGTAAGCTAGCCAGTCAGAATCGGAAAGGCAGTATATGCCTTCATCAATATGAAACCATTTTGGAAATCCTCTGCACTCAGCCAGCATAAGAAACAAGATTCACTATTCAATTGAATTTTTGATTTTCCCATCGATTGATTGGACCGAAGTGCTCGGTCTCAGGTTGACATGTTGGCTTCTTGTGCAGATGCCTCGACGATGTCTGGGGATTTGATTTGTATACAATTGGTGGATGGTGGCTAGCAGTGGAATCCAGGATAAGGCGCATTTCGTCCTATTTGGGACTCGTCAGCTGGGCGTTTGAAACTATGGGCACTGGGCTCGAGCCTCGGTGGGAACATCACCACTCATTGAGAAATGCAGGTACATCCAGCTGACGAGTCCCAAATGGGACGAAATGTGCATCCTGGATTCCACTGCTAGCCACCATCCACCAATTGTAAACAAGATTCACATTATCAACAACAATGTCCGGTCGGTTCTCCTATACAGGTCAGAAACTCGCAATACACGTGCTTCACGAAAAGCATTTCCAAAATGCCACTACAGATTTTTGTCAACAACTGTCACCTTCGTTCTAAATTAAAGATGAAATGGTCAGTTGGAAAGTTTTAGCAAGAAGAAACTCTAGCTGGCTGGGAACAAATCAACAGGCGAGAGCCGATTGCTCAGCAAATTTTTGAGCGAAATTTGAGATGGATCGGTTGGGGCATACATTAAGGAGGCCACTGAATTGCATCACACACCAGGCCCTCAAGTAGAATCCAAACGGGAAGCAACGAGTGGGTCGTCAGCGCGAAGATGACATGGAGGAGATTGTTTAGGGAGGAAGAGATGAGAGAATTTGATCAATCGTGGGCCCAGACAGATGAAGAGGACAACAGAAAACAGAAGAAAGCGGAGACGTGTTCTTGAAATCCTTTATTGTTCCATTCGGAACGCAAGGCAATAATAATGGTAATAATAATTTCCCAAAACAATTTATCCCCCAATATTTATAGTATAAATTGTTATTATTAAAATAGTCCAGAAAAAAAGGCAGAACAACATTTGTCTTACCCCTTATCTTTACATATTTATGTGTGTTTATGTGCAAGTATCTCTGATTATCACTGATAATATTGATAGTATTGCTTGCATTATTAATTAATTATCACTATAACCGTTTATTATATTACCATTTCATAATCTCCTCCCTTTTTTTCCGTTGTTGGTTATTTTAAACAAACAGATATATCCAGGTGTTCAATGTACAATATGTTCAATAGATTTGACTAAACAACTTTTCACGATTTAACTAAATCCTTCTCTATCTATCGCTATCTCATAAAAAAAATTTGAAAACAGAAAAATCAATAATTAGAATTGACATACGCACACAGACACACACACACATATGAAAGTTGATAATACTTCCTCCGTTGATCTACTTCAACCTTGTCCTATTTATCCAAATCCAATGCTGGCATTCTGTTCAAGTATTTCATCAAATGCACGAAATATATTTTCTCCAGATATTTGTAAAGAATTAGAATGCTCATTCAATTGTAATGAAATGGGGCATCATACCTTGTCATCATCATCATCGACAACCACATCAACAACAAGCTGTACAGTTTCAACTCCTCTGTCATCGTCATCATCATCTTCGTTGATGTCATTTACACCAACAATGCATAATGGAGATACATTATCGTTATCATCAGCATCAGCAGGAGTATCATCGTTCCCAGTGGAGATATCAGTTGTTGATAAAATTATTCATCTACTAGGAAGTGTTTGTCAGTCGGAACAGTTAGCAATTGATAAGAAACTGAAAATTCTTACAGATATCGCTGAACATGTCATTAAATTGTATGAAATGTTAACGAATACATTAGGAGAGAATTTCACAACATGGGTAAGTAGTTAAGCATATTGTTCTATCTACTTGGGTTTTGTGTTTTTTTTCTCTTTTCTTTCGTTGTTTCTAATTAGAACATGTGTTATGAATTCGATGACACAATCTGGAGAATCTGTAAGATGTATGATGTTGTTAGAGGTCATAAATCAGAAGTTGACATCAGCCAGTGCCAACGGGTTGATCTCTGACGAAATCTCTGCACGGATACAGAGGGCTAGTTTTGCATATACCAATTTAGCCGTCTCTGGCTTAGTAGACGTGATATCCGGTTGACTGTCGACCAAAGGGCGTGTGTACTGCTCAGCAGTCCACTCCATCCTCCTTTATGACTGTGATACCTGACTCTGAAATATGGCCAATACGAGTTGAAGACATGAAAAGGTTGACTGCTTTCGGTCATAGATGTCTGCGATTCTTTTTTCACATTAGGTGGTTTGATAAATAAGGTAAGTAATGTTGACGTTAGGCGTATAGTGTTGGGCAGGCAAAGAGGGAAAATCAATTGACGAGGCTATAAAGTTACATAGATTGAGATGGCTAGGTCACGTGCTACGCATGCCTAACCATCGCCTTCCCTGACGGGCATTACTAGCTGATATATGTGCAGGTTGGAAACGAGTAAGTGGTGGCCAAACAAAAACATGGCATCAATCCATGAAATCCTTGACAGTTAAACTGAGTCAGGTAGGGAGATGTAGACTTCCGGGTTGGGGCCCTCGGGACTCTAGGAGTCAATGACTGGAGACAATAGGTGACATGGCTCAAAGTCGTTATCAGTGGTGCAGATGTATTCAGTCTCTGTAATCTTTCATATTCCTTTCTACCATTACCCATTCTGTTTCACTCTTATACTTGTCAGACTGTATTGATTCTCTTCACTCATCTTCTTGCCTACCTTTGTGTGTGTGCTATTTGGAAGGTGGCAACTCGAACTGGTGCACTTCGGTGCCAAGTTCTATGTTGAATCCAGACAGACAGTGAGACCTGGCCATTAAGAGTGGAAGACATGAAAAGACTAGCTGTCTTCAATCATAGGTGCCTGAGTTCTATCTCCCGTGTGAAGTGGTATAATAAGGTGAATAATATTGAGGTTAGGCATAGGTCGAGTGCTAGGTAAGGAAGGGAAATCAGTCGACGAGGCTGTGAAATTACATCGACTGAGATGGTTGGGACATGTGTTACGCATGGATCCCTAGTCATCCATCACCTTCCTCGACAATGGGCAATGTTAGCTGATATAGGGTCAGGTTAGAAAAGAGCTAGTGGCGGTCAAACCAAAACATAGCTTCATCAGTCAATGAAATCCACAACAGTTAGTTTAAGCCAGCCACTTAGGAAGGTGTAGACTTCCTGATTAGTTGGGGTCCTCGGTACGGCAAAAACCAATGGCTGGAAACAATTGGTGACATGGCTCAAAATCGTTCTCAATGGCTAACGCAGATGCATCCACTCCTTGTGACTTGTGATTTCCAATGAAACTACATTGTTCTTCGTTATTACTAACTATTCCTTTGTGTCACACCTCTGTGTACTGTCTCTATTATGCATTTCTTCTACTTTCTTCTCTTGCTTTGTGTGCTACAAGGAGGGAGTGTGGTGACTTGAACTGGTGCACATCGGTGTTAAGTTGTATGTCGAAAACAGACAGACAGACAGATGGTCAGAATACCCTATTAGACGGATCTATAGTTGGTTTTAGAAATTCACGTACTTATGAATTATCTAAATATTTAGCTATGATATTAAATCCCCTTTAAAAAAAGCCACTTAAAATCATCAAGACTAACAAATTCTTATGAACTAAAACATTGATGGATTTACATTTATTTATTTATTTTTCCTTCCCGTCCCCAGTGGAACATAGGGCTTCGAGCTAGCGGCTTGAAGTTTCTGAAGCAGTGTTTTTATTTTACAGGATGGGGTTGCTAGCCTCATGCACAACCTTTCCTCTTTATCAGCATTATTTCTGGCTCAGCGAGGTAAAGGAGTGCGTCCGTGGCCGGGGATCGGACCCCGGACCATGTGCATGGTCGACGAGCGTCCTAACCGCCATACCACCGACGCATTGGTGGATAAGATAATTTAAAATTAAATAATGAAGAAAAAAAATGGTTAGTTTTGACATTGTCAGTTTATATACACATATACCGATAATAAATATGGCTATAGAGGCATTCAGAAACAAACTCATTTCTGATCAAGAACTTGAACTTAGAACGATAGTGACACTTAAGGACATAATGATGGGAATGCAGCAGTATTTAAATTCCAAGGGAAAATATACAAACAAACTGAGGGATTTACCATGGGGTCACCAATATCTCCGGTTGTCGTGGATATATTCATGGTCTGGTGGGAAAAGTTAGCGATTCAAACTTTCAATCTCACCCCAAAAGTATGATGGAGGTATGTAGATGACACATTCACTGTACTTAGAACACACAGGATATAGATAGATTACTGGTGACGTGGCTGGCTCAAAATCCTCGTTCTCAATGGGTGGTGCAGATGCATCCGCTCAATGTAACTTTTAATACCCAATGAAACTATGTTGTTTTCTTCGGTATTACTATTCTTTTTGCCTCTTATCTCTGTTTACTGTCTGTATTGTGGATTTCCTTTTACTTTCTTCTCTGATTTTGTGTGTTACGTGAAGTGAGTGTGGCGACTCAAACTGGTGTACATCGGTGCACAGTTCTGTGTTGAAACCAGTCAGTTAGTCAGTCAGTCATCTGACATCGGTTACTGGTTGTAATTTATATTACGAATAGATAGAAGTTGAAATTCATGCGCTACCAAGTTGGATCACAGTAACCGATTGGTCTATGAACTCACTTTTTAACCTGAAGGTTCTGGGTTCAGATCCTCTGGATGCGTACTGTTGATGAATCTTAAACAAGGAAAGAAACAGTTGTCCAGTACTTCCTCATGGTTTCTTTTTGGTTCTCTAAATGAAGTCAGCTGGCGATCGAATCTGATGTCAGGATAATTAATTTTTTTTTTTTATTTTGCTTTTTACAGCAAGATCATGAAACTCCATTGAATCTTACTCAACCAAAATTGTTGCCTGCAGAGAAGGATGTCAATGATGCCAGTAACTCTACCTCCAGTGTACAACAATTGTATGATACAATATCAAATTCTTTGAGTCCTCAAAATCTCACCTATCAACAATCTGCCAAATCGATAACAAACACCTCGTTATTCCCTCCTCCTCCTCCTGTGAATATTCCATCAGTTAACCCATTAATTCAAATGACTCAGTCTATGCCATGGTTACAACAGAAATCAGATCAGTTAACAAATGGATTGATTTGTCCTACAAATGATACTACAGAGATGATGATGATGACGATACCTTCCGACAGGAATTTAACTCCCTTCTTCAATTGGTTATCTACATTCCCAGATGTTAATCTCTTACCAAATTGGTTACTTGAACAGATGACCATGTCAAATAATGAAAAGGTAATTTATTGATTTACAACAATTTTTTCATCCCGTTCCGTATATCTTCTTATTTTAAGGAATTTATTACTTCTATGTACTAACCTAACGGTGTTAGGTTTACACTTGAAGGCGATTGTTTCCGCCAAGTTGATGATGTTGCGCTATGGGAAATCGCTTAGGGGCCCCTTTTTAGCAGATATTTATATATCGCACATTCAGAGTTTATAAGAGGATTTACTCGAAAATGTGCTACTTTATAGAAGGTATGTAGATGATATTGTAATCATCAGTGATAAGTCTTGATCTGGTCAGTAAAACGATCTATTTATAGAAAACCTACATGAACAGGACAGTATCTTAATTATCACAGTTTCTGCCCGGTTCTACAAAACAGCATTGAAGATACACTTGATGAAGAAGGGAGAAAGTTGACACAAACTCTGGTTGATAACAATCACATTCAGAAAAGTTCATCAGGAGATTTAAAGTGGTCAGAACACTGAGACACCCACTCTCCAAATCACCCCTAAGAAAGACGTATACATCAAGGTATCATGTATGGGGCACCGAAGCAGCTTGATAACTAGACAAAGACTGAACGCTGCTGTTAACAAGACTTTTTATGCAACTAATATCATAATAATTGAGAATGTGAAGCCAATATATCTATCTATCTAAGCCCTTCGAACATGCGAAAAATGATGTCACCTACCACTGTGTTTACCGATTTGAATGTACTTGTGGACACACATACATGGAGAGGACTCATCAATCTCTGCAAGTAGGGGCTAGCTTTAGAACATATTCTTTAATGGCTCCAAAAACAAATGGATTCTTCAGAACCTATTAACGGTGAGAACAGGAGACTTAGCTCTTCTATTGCGAAACATATTATGAAGACAGCACATAAAATTGGCGTTAATAGATCTTTTAAACCTATCTGTAAAACTTGTTTGGGGCGTGTCCTAAAGTTTGTGGAGGCCCTAGTAATTAGGAAGTTTTAGTCACCTTTAGCGTTCAAAGCAACATTTCCTCACCGCACTAAACCTTCTCAGGCAAAATTTGTTTTGATACCATAGGAGATGTACTATTACCTCTGCCACTTGGTTTAGTGGTCTTCATTGTTATTTTTGACCTCGAATATGTCATTTCAACTTGACCTAAGTAGTCTATTCTCTCACCTCTTAACTCTTTATCAACTTCATACATACATATTCGTATGACAAATCAGTGTGTGTGATCAGATTGTTCGAAATGCGTGTTGCTCAAACACAGCATTAGACGATTCAAACAAATTACGTCTTTTATTGCTTTGTCTAAATTCATAAAGGGAACTAATTGTTTTAAATTAAAAAAAAAGTAGTCATGCTGATAGCCAATCATTTGGTAAGGCATCTTTTTCATTCTTGGAGTTCTGAGGGAAATATGCCACTTCAGGGGATTTGAAGTTTTGTAGTGAACGCGTTGGTTTTTTATTTATTGAGTGAGGTGGCTAACCTCGTAACAGAAGAAGATAAGAATAACTCACCTTTATCAAGGAAAAAGGAACCATATTTATACATGCTTAACTGTACTAAGTAAGATTCGCCAAGGTCAGATGAGAAGGGATTGTTCTGATTGGTTAGCAGTTGCCCCAAGGTTAAACAAGTTGTCCAATAAGGTTATTTCATGTCCTGGAAAGGTAAGATGAATCCAGATTTGAAGAATAAACATTACTACATCTGTAGCCAGTCTCTGACTTTGACCGGTTCCTATCAATTTGCATCACGCAACAACCTCACTTCCTAACTTTCTTCTCATAGATTACTTCCGGTTAGGCGAAGTTTAGCAATAAGTCAGCTGGAAACCGAACTGGGAACTCACGAATAGATTCGGCTGGTATTTTACCAGTGAGCTACGGATACATTTGATGAATAAGAACTAAATTTTGGTAGGACACAAAACAGCAGTCTCTAAGTTGCTGATAGGTGGTAAGTGGGGTTTGTAGATCAGCTGACTGAAGAGTACTCACTTGGTAAGGCAGAGGCTGTTTACTTGAATCCTGTTACACCCCTGAAAGCAAGTACATAAGTTTCTATGTTAATTAGTTAAGCAGTAACCTGTGTGATTTAGAGTTGGAAAGTAGTCACGAGAAACAAATATTGTGTGCGATATTTCTGTTTAATTTCATCATGGATGTACTAACGGACTTTTTATAAAGGAATAGTCTTGCTGACTTAGAATATATGCGGATGATACAGTCCTCATAGGTGAAGACGCCAAAAACGTGCAGAGTCTTCTGAACACCTTGAGTAGCAGTCTTCGAATATTTGGCATGCGATTCGAGTCCTGCTATCAAATGTTAGGGGATGAGGCAACAGGACTGGACTATATCGACTCTTAGCTGACTTATAGATATAGAGAGTGATGGAGTAGTAGATGAAACGTGTTGACCACTTCAATTATTTTGGAAAGTTGCATCAGCCAGTCCTAAAGGAATGATTATTAACGAAATTTCAGCATGGAGAGGCGGTTTCTCAGTATTTCTTCCAATGAGTCTCCATTGAATTGTAAATTCAGGTAGATTCAGGTCTTTTAGAAGTAGAAAGTGTGAACAGTTTTAATGAGTGATATCCAACTACTCATTTCATTAAATCAGTAGTATTTAATGTCCTATATCAATCAATAGATGTTGTGCCTTATCGGTACTGAGCAGTACTCAGTTGGTTAGATTGAAGTAGGTAGGAGTAGGACTCGGATCTTGGAGGTGTTATTTGAGTTCTTAAGCCTAATAGCTCTCTCCTTTTGCCTACCTGGGAAGCATGGTTTCAGCTACAGGTGGACGGAACTGATGTGGATATCAAAGCAGAGAGGATCATCGGGAAAGCATGTGAAACTTTCATTACTCTCAACAAGTCTGTGTGGAAGAGATCAACAGCACTCAGCATGAAAATCAAAAAAAAAGATCCGGATTTTCAACTCCCATGTAAAGTCAGTCAGTGCTACTTACCATACGGATCAAAGAGTTGCCCCCACGCTGCATCACGAAGGCCACTTCAAACAAATTGCAGGCTTTCATCAACAGTTGTCTTCACTCAATACTTCGCTCAAGATCAGATAGCCGGTCAGAAAAGATCAGAAACTGGGATCTCTGTCAGTGAGTTAACCAACCAACCTAGCAGGAGCCTAGTGTGCAACAAATATGCACACAAGAAGAAATGGAGTTAGGTGGACTGGCTGGCCATACTCTGAGAAAACAGACCATCAAGTTAGTGACATCCATCACACGCCATGCAATCGCTCGAGTGAAACCTGAACGGGAAGTGACAAGTTAGTCGGTCGTCAGCGCAAGGGTGACATGGAGGAGGAGGAGGTTGGTGTGAAGAGGAGATGAAAGCATGTGTTCCGACATGGAGCCAGGTGAAAACGTTGGTGGAAAACCGCGAACACAATGGAGACGTTCGGCTGAAGCCCTATGTTCCTCTTGGAACTAAAGGAAACAATAATAATAATAATAATAAACCTAATAGCTACTGCATCTCTTGAAAACTGATAAGCACTAACAATTGGTGATTTGTTAACCTGCTGAATCGATTCTTCCATAAAATCAATCAAAATTTTCCCCTGTGCCTTTTTCACCTTTTAATATTTTTTTTTTTCTGTACCGCAGATGAGTACAAATCCGATGACACATTCTCCTAACAACAATAATAATAGTAATAATACTAATAATGCATTTACTGAAACCATGTTAAACTATATGAAATGCTACTATGCAAAATTATCAAGTAATCAAATACCCAGTCAACAGTACCAAATGGAAATTGGTCCAGACAGAAAGACTTCACATGCGTCGAACAAACAACATTCTGTCGATAATCAACAACTGTCCACAAAAAATTCCATTGGAGGAAATATTCACAATGGATATGATCTTATAGGGGATAATTCAGTACCACAGAAACCTCACCTTCCAAATGCATTTATACAGTTATATGATGTAATCAACCAAATAAAGCCTAAATTGGATAAAGACTGTCTGACGTCAGTAACGTCGACTTCTACTCCGGTAACAACACTCGGTAGTAATATAGAGAATTTCAAGTCTAATAACTTTTTAATCCAAACACCGTTAGTTAATAACATTAACAATGAAAACAGCTATAATGGAGTATCACTGTTAACTTCCTCACCTAACCCATCATCATCAACATCATCAGCATCGGGGATGTATCCACCAAAGTCGCAAGAACTTTCAAGCATTTGTCAGCCTTATAATAACCCTATTAATTTCCTATCATTTAATCAAAGAATAACTTCAGTAACTGAAATGAATAAAAATCATTTCAACTTAAGTTTACAACAAATTTCAAAATTCAATGGTACAAATAATTTCCACTCCAAAGGAACTAATATCAGTAGCGATAACTGTAAAAGTGAAAATAATAATCTAGATCCTGCGACTATGATGAATGGAAATATATCGACTACACAATCATCAATTAATAATAATCCCCTATGTAGAAATGATCAATGCCATTCAATGTTCAATGGGAACAATTCAAATTTGTCGGGTTTTTCTTTACCGGACAATATAAATTGTAATCTACCATTGTTTTGTAATACTAATACAATAACAAATGCTAATCATAATAATAATAATGGTTTCAATGATAACGATACAAATAGCCAATCTTCAGATGTGAATCATTCTAAAATTGGCGCGTTCAATTTAAATCATAGCGCTACAGAACTAGTTAAACAACACTTCACATCACTATCGAAATTGACATCAGGTTCGCTAAATTTAAACATGAATATTGATGATGGTAATACTAATAATAATAACAGGACGGCTGCTGTGACCACTACTCCTCCGGGTAGTACTTCTGACACTATAGATACTACTAATAATACTAACGTTAGTAATAGTAGTAGTAGTATAATCAATTCAAATGAAATTGACAACCAAATGAAAGATTCTGTCAACTCATTGAAATCGTTAACGCCTATTTCTAATCAAAATAATTTAATGTCAACAGAATTAACTGGACAGTATCAATTGAATCGTCATCACCATCAGCAGACGTATTATTATCCACTAAGTCAACATAAACAGCAACAGCAAACATGCCGTTTAATGAAAAGGAAGGATTACAATAATAATAATATAGAACAAAAATATAAAAATATTAAATTGACATATTCAAATAATCATGAAAATAATAATAGTGAGGTAGATGAGGCGGATGATGAAGAACTTGAAGAAGGAGACTTTGATATAGCCCAACAGTCGAAGTTCATACACCAAGAACATCAGCAGGTGAGTCATTATTTTTTTCCTTCACGTTCCCAGTGGCTTGAAATCTCTGTAGCATTGTTTGATCTTACAGAATAGGGTTGCTAGCCTCATGCCCAACCTTTCCTCTTTACCAAAATTATTTCTGGCTTAGCGAGGTAAAGGAGTGCGCCTGTGGCCGAGGATCGAACCCCGGACCATCTGCATGGTTGGCGAGTGTCCTAGCCGTTGTCCCACCGACGCATAGTCATCATATTGTAATCTTATTAATTATACTCATGGAAAATCAAAACAAGTGATGATGTAGCGAACAGACTCTTTTCAACGAATTTATCATCAAGCTGTACAATCGTATATATATGGTTTTTAAGCAGTTATATCCGGTGAGGAAATCAGATCAAAAGTGTGAATGCATAAAACAATAATAATAATAATATGGAATGCAATTAAAACTGATGTCAGCTCATGATTAAATCCTCCATGCAATCAAATAAAATCTCTACAAAACCAATACTTGAAAATTAATCTGATGCTCACTAGCGACTGGCCCTATTCAGGCAGTTAACCTGGGGTTCTAGTGGGAAGCCGTGACCATTAGGGTACAGCAGGTCGAAGATGAGGCATAACTCATCAAAGAAGACATTGCGAAGTGGTTGCGCTATGTCGTGAATTGACAGAAGTTAGAATCCACGGGCCATTGGATCGGGTCTCAGTGGCTCAGTGGTCTATGAGCTCGCCTTGTAACCAGAAGGTCCCGGGTTCGAATCCCAGTGGGTGCGTACTGCTGAGAGGTCCCAAACTAGGACGAAACAGCTGTCCAGTACTCCCAGGTTTTCCAGAGGTTCTCTAGCTGGTGTCAGCTCATGATTAAATCCTCCATGCAATTAAAACTAAAATGTTTGTGATTATAATCGCAGTTAAATGTCAAATGGCAAAGCAAATTAATGTCATATATAGAATAATCCATAGGATGGAGAGAACTTGAATAAGGGTGTGCAATTATAGGATTAGTAGATAAATCGAATAAAAGAAAAAGCGTTACGTAATAATGTGTGAAATTTAATAGCATAGAGTTTAACTTTGTAAAAAGAGAAGAATTGATTTAGAATGACAAGTGGAACAAGTGAAATAATACCGGGGACAGTTCAAAGTGAGAATACTAATGGTAGTAACAATTGACGTAATATAGAGGAGTATACAAATTGAATAGACAAAATGGAAAATTGGCAGAGTTAAAATATGATCGGCGATTACCATACTTTAGCATAGAGGGATTAAGACTATGAAAGTTGGAGGGGTTGAACGAACTTTTTCTGTACACAGAGATCCGGCTTTTCTGTTTCGATAGCCAAAGCTTCAGCAATAGAGATGAGTCGGGTACGTAGGGATTTGGGTAAATTACTCTTTGCCTTGTAGATGACTTTAAAGACGGAGGCTATAGAGATAGGGTGATCACTATCGACCAGATGTTCAATGATCGCGCTTCTTATTGCTCCACTTGCACCTTTTCGTAACTAGCATGCAGGATAGTGTTCTTGCACCTTCTTGGACAAAACTCGAGTCGAACGACCGATATACCTATCTCCACATAAGAAGGTGAATTGATAAACACACATAGAGTTGGTCAACAGTGGGATCTTGTCCTTCAGGTTATTGAACAGTAATGGTCAACTAGTAAAGGCTATTCTCAGAGATGCAGCACGGAATGTTCTTTTCAGAGACTGTGATATCCTTCGTTTCGCGATATCGGAAGCTAAGTCCCCTCTGAATTCCAAGCTCGTGGAAAGTATTTTCTTGGGTACGGTTGATAAGTCACGTTTCATAGGATTTGAATGTATATTCTTATTTATAAAACCTGGTGGAAATCCATTTTCTATTAGGATTTTTCTCAAAGGATATAACTCATCTTCCGCAGTATCATAATTACATATGCGCTGAATGCGAGTAGCAAGCGATCTGATCGGGTGTCGTTTTCGACCGATGGGTACCCAGCTTTAGAAATTTGTCAGTTGACCATTCCATGACAGCTTTCAATAAATCGATCTCTTCAGAGTTCGATCGGTCCTCCTTAATAAGTTCACATCGAGGAAATCAATACTAGACTCGTTCTCCATTTCAAGTGGCAATTTTATCGCAGGATGGCAATTATTCTTATATAACCATATATATATGATTGTACAGCTTGATGATAAATTCGTTGAAAAGAGTCTTTCCGCTGAATCACTTGTTTTGATCATTTATTCTAGTTTTCTTTAGAAAATGAAATTAGTTTATAAGATCACAGTCGATTTCGATGTAAGCATATAACATGGGAACTGTGGTGATGGAGTGTAGTTCATTTATGAAGAAAATTTATTTCGATAAAGTCTCACAGCGTGTTATACAGTAATATTTACTGAAGACCACGTTTCGAGCACAGTTTTTACACTGCTCATAATTTCAATATCAAGTCACTACTCACACAACTCGCCATCTACCTTTGTCATCTCTTGATTCCATTGGTAGTGGTATTTAGTAATGAGTCATTCCTACTGCATATGTTGGATGTAGATTATTCGAAGAACATAGAAGATTCGGTAATCAACCTCTCACTCTCTCCACCTACTTATATTACCTCTTAGAATCTTAACCCTCTCCCACCCTATGTTGTGTGATTGTGCGTTGCTAATGCATGCAGTGTAATTGTTGAGTGAATGCTGGCGAACGACACGTATTATTCTCTACACGACCGATGGTTCTACCACGACTGAAAGATGAAGTACCTAGACTAGCCACTTTCAAGTGCATCTACCAATTCAGCTGCGCCCGTCATGGAGAGAGTTATATTAGCCGTTACTCTAGGAACTTGTGCTCGCTTGAGAACATATCCCTCACTCTGGCTAAGTAAAGGTGTAGTGAAAACCATTAACAGTTCGATATTGGACCATCTGGTGCAAACCGGCCACAAAGCCAGCTAGCATTGAAGAATCCCTTTTTATCATCTACTGGGTGCCTAATAAATTGCCAAAATCATCATCTAAGCACCACATGCTCCAAACATCAGAGGCCAGTGGAACTCGCCTCAAACAACCAGTGCTCTGTATTTAAAAGAAGTATGTCCAGCATCTACTACTGCTCTGGCTAGCCTTCAGTAGAGACTATAAATTCATGAATTTGTAATATTATCTTTCCTAATACTTCTGACATTTAGCTTATTTTATGTTGATGCTAATGATCTGTCATCTATCAACATTACTGATTCTATGTTATTTAAACAACTTTAATGTTGTTCATAACACTAATTCATTCATTCACTATAATGTATATATATATATATATATATATATATATATATATATAAAGCCTGATGAAGAGCAGGTTATCGAAAAGAGTACTCTTTGTTCAGTATCCCTTCTTTTGAAAAATTGTTGAGTTATTTTTTGTAAATAACTTATCTTCGTGGAATTACTCATTCTATTATTATTATTATTGTATCCTTTAGTTCCTAGAGGAACATAGGGCTTCAGCTGCGCACCTCCATTGCCCTAGGTTTTCTCCCAACTTTTTCACCCCGCTCCAGGTCTGTCCACATGCTTTCATCTCCTCCTCGCATGACCTCCAAGTCACCCTTGCACTGACGACCAACTCGCCGCCTCCCTTTCGGGTTCCACTCGAGTGACGGCTTCTCCAGTGATGTCACTTGATGGTTTCCTCAGAGTATGGCCAATCCATCTCCATTTCTTCCTGCCTATTTGTTTCACAATCGGTTCCTGGTGGGTTGGTTCACTCCCAGAGATCTTTGTTGCTGATCTTTTCTGGCTGGCCATCTGATCTTGAGTGAAGCATTGAGCGAAGACAGTTGTTAATGAAGGTCTGTAGTTTGTTTGAGATGCTCTTTATGATGCGCTGGCCAAGTCTCTGATCCGTATAGTGAGTAGCACTGACTGACTTCACATTGGATTTGAAAATCCTGATCTTATTTTTGATGCTGAGTGCTGTTGACCTCCACACAGATTTGAGAGTAATGAAAGCTTGTCTTGCTTTTCCGATTCTGGCTTTGATATCCTCGTCAGTTCCGTCCGCCAATAGTTGAAACGATGCTTTCCAGGTGGGTAGGTGAAGGAGGCTGTTAATTTCAGGTTCTTCCCACTTATGCTGATTGTTGTCTGTTGTTGTTGTTGCTGTTGATGTTGGCTAGGAATCTTCATCACCTCTGTTTTATCTATGTTCACTTGAAGTCCTATCTTTGATGCTTCTTCTGCCAACTTGTTGCTTTTCACTTGCATATCTCCCAGTTTGTGAGAAATCAGACATATATCATCGGCGAAATCCAGATCCTCCAAGTCTTTTGTGTCAGTCCATTTTATGCCTGTTCCCTCGTTCGTTGCCGTTGTCTGTCGCACCTTAGCTAACCTAACCTTAGCTAAATTCTTATGTTCCGACAATCTGACTACCCCCGACCTATTAGTATGAGCTATGTAGTTGACTTAACCCATAGTCACTGCAAGGTATTTTGTAAATCATATTATTTTGTCTTATTGGGCAAAGCTGCAGGATCCTTTAACCTACAAAGCCTGTCCTACCTGAGTGAGTTTTTAGGTTTAAATGATATCACTCTAATTCCTGCTCTATTAAGTATCTATCCTACGTAGGGAGGGTCTCAGATGTCCCATGCCTTATATTCTCTCTTATCTATTAAAGATAAGTAGATGCACAGAGACGTTGATTACTGAATCTTTGTTTGTCAATCTTGTTCTCCGTATTCACCACTAGGTGTGTCAGTATGGAACTTCTGATTGACTTTACGACTCCTCTACCTAACTGACCACATTGGACAATGCTCAAGAAGGCGATGGTGGGACTGCCAAGTTGTTCTACCAGCTATGTGTAACTGTCTCCACAGGAACACTTAAATTTGCAAATGCACATTGAAGTGGTCAAACTCAATAGCTTATCCTTCACCTGTATTGGAATTATACAATGAGTGGGGGATTTTAAAAACACTGGTGTGGCAAAGAATGTTTTAGCTAGTATTTTATGAAGTTTTGACACTAGCAATTTAATTTCTGTGTCTCCTCTGACCCCATATTTTATTAAGCACATTAATATAAACACCGATGACTACTAATATTTCATTATGTCAATGTAAGGCCTGATAAGAATTTGCCGAAAATACGTATTTACTTGCTGAAATTGTATTACATCATAAGATACTTGTTAATAGACTTTTCTACTAGTTGGTCTCGGATTAATATCAGTTAGAGAACCATTGAAAATCTTCAAGCAGTACTGGACACCTCTTATCCTATTTCGGGAATCATCGGAAGTATGCACCCACTGGGATTCGAATCCAGGATGTCCCGGTTACATGGCAAGCTCGTATACAATTCAGCCACAGGGACCCCCATTCAATGGCTTATCAATTCTAACTAGGATGAAACAACTGGCTATCCAGTACTCCAGTACTGGTTTTCAATGGTTCTCTAACTGATACCATCAATCCGTGATCAACTCGTAAAAACAAAAAACTAACCCTTACAAACCAAATTATAGAAATTAGACTTTTCTATTAAGGAAAGACACATCATAGATGGTTTCTCAATATTTCTGCTGATCAGTCTACATTGATTTGCAGATAGAGAAGTTATTTCAAAGCAGAAAGTGTGTGAAATCCTAGTGATTTAAGCTTCATGGATTTTATAATGAAACATCACCATTTCCAAGGTGAATTCTACTCACAGTGTTTATCTCCTCATGCATCAATATCAGAGCAGCAAATTCTGAGGGTGCTGTAACTCAGCGTTACGGATCAGGTTTCGTTTTGAATATATAGAGGTACCTAACTATGAAAGTTAATTAATCTGTCCATTTCACGTCACTACTCCATCTTGTTCATGTAGTGAACATTAGAAAAAATTACTTTTAAGTCGAACTCCTTCATTTTTGATTGCATACTAGTCAGTACCTAGTGTAATGAGTCTAGTCCTATCTTCACTACAGACTGAATTCAATCAGTCAAGCTTGCAATGTGGCCGCCATGCTGCTAGGTGGCTCGCCATTACGTCGCACTGTGAATTGTTGGTATTAGATGGTTGGAGGCAATCGCCTGGACATTACACTAGTTACAGACTAGTATGCAATCAAAAATATCCAATACAGTCCTACTTGAGGTCAATCACGAGCCTGAACAGCTCAGTGGTAACGTCTCTGACTGCAGCACTGAGTGACACAGGTTCGAATCTCGGAAGAGACATGAGTTCCTTCGAGCTGGTTGCAGATACGCCTTGCTGATGACTGCCAACTAGCACGAAACCTAGGTTCAAGGCTTCTTGTGGTCGATTGCCTCTAACCACCTAATACCAAGAACTCCTTCATTAATGTGAAGTGAATTCCAGAATGGCAGCTGCTAAAGAAATCCAGGATATATATATGTATATATATGACTAGTTTCAACAAAGAAATCGTGACCAGTAGGGTGCAGCAGGTTGAATATGAGGAAAATACTCGCCAGTGTTGACATTGGCTAGGGGTCGCGCTATATCGTGAATTGGCAGAAGTTAGAATTCATGGGCCGTTGGATCGGGTCCCAGTGGCCTAATGGTCTGAGAGCTCGTTTGCCTTGTAACCAGAAGATTCTGTGTTCAAACCTAGGTGGTGGGTCTTACTGATGAAGAGTCCCAAACTAGGACGAAACAGCTGTCCAATACTCTCAGGTCTTCAGATGGTACTCTAACCAATACCAGCTCATGATGAAATCCTGTAACCAATCAACCAAATCCCTACAAACCAACACCTGAATATAGGAACTTGCACCGATGTTCAGCGGTTCGAGCCTCCACATTCCCTCGATGTAGCACACAAAGCCAGAGAAGAAGAAAAAAGTAAAAAGAAACACAAAATAGAGACAGCAAACAGAGATATGATGGTAAAAGAATAGTAATATAGAAGAACAATATAGTTTTATTGTGTATTAAAAGTCACAAGGAGTGGATGCATCTGCGCCAGCCATTGAGAACGAAGATTTTGAGCCAGGCATATCATCGATTGTCTCCAGCCTTCATTGGTTTTTACCGTCCTGAGGACCCCGACCAGTCAGGAAGTCTACATGTTCCTAAGTGACTGCCTGGCTTAAACCAATTGTTGTGGATTTCACTGACTGATGAGTCCATGTTTTGTTTTGACCAACACCACTGGCTCTTTTACAATCTGATCCATCCTATGTAAGTCAGCTAACATTTCCCGTCGGTCGAGGAAGGTGATGGCTAGGCTAGGCATGCGTAACACATGTCCCAACCACCTCAGTCGACGTAACCTCACAACCTCATCGATTGATGTCCCTTCCCTCCTTAACTAGCACTTAACTAATGCCTAACCACAATAGTGCTCACCCTATTATATATATATACCCTATACTTTAAATGTGTATATGTAATTGTTTCTAACTTTGCATTCTAATGTCAGGTTCACGTAAAATCACATCGATCAACTAAATCCAATCCTGATCTATTAAATGATAAATCTGCTTCACATATAAAACGACCAATGAATGCTTTTATGATATGGGCAAGAGATGAAAGACGAAAAATTCTCAAGGTAAGTAAATTTGATTTATATCAAAATGCTATATATTACTGAATGATTCCTATAAGTAGTTGTATACCCCCTTCACTCCAACCAGTCGTATATATCAGCCAGAATGAAGAAGCGGTCTAAACACCGAATGGCCGGTTTGCTCGTAATGGAGCTAAGCTCATCAGCAATGTAGGGAGATTAATTTGATAATTGAGAATCCTATCAAAACTCTGCTGGCTTGATAACTGTTTCTTTTTGCTGTTTGGAGAAGTGAGGATAGAACTAAATGAAAGAATGGAGTTAGAAAATTGTAGAAACCTACTACTTTCACTAGGTCGATTCAATATGTGAATTAGTTTTTAATGAAGTGGTTTAACTGTCGGCTTGTTTAACGCCAAAAACGATGTATTGTGGTGTGAACTCAAGGAACCGATCTTTGTGTTCTACTGTGTTGATCACTTTACTTATTTGGGAAGTTGTATCAACCAACCCCAGAAGGGGTTGATTGCTGACAAAATCTCAGCATGGATACAAAAGTCTGGTTTGGCATATGCCTGACAACTTACACCATCTCTGGCTTAGTAGATGTCATGTCCGGCTGACTGTCGACCAAAGGACGTGTGTACTGTTCACCAAGCCTGCCGGTCGACCAGAAAAAATTATCAACAAGAAACTTTGTCAGCAAACGAACTAATCAGGATTCTATTGTTCAAGAAATACACCAGATAAAAGTAATATGCATCGGATATACACTAGTGAGGAGATCACAGAACGCCAGGTCATTCCAGGAGTAGGAAACGATGAGAGGGGTGTCGCTCTGAATTTAACATACAGGAGATCGTGTAAGGAGGAGGAGATGACAGTCAATAGTCAATCGTAAAGGTCCAAGAAGCTGAAGAGAACTTCAGAGAAAAGGATGAAATGAGCAGATATTTCATTGCGTCCCCATGATATTTCACACGGAACCCAAAGGAATAATTAAATATTTTCTATCGTTGGTTTAATAAGGATTAGTTTTGTTTTTACGAGTTGATCACGGATTGATATCAGCAGAGAGTACTGGACAACTATAGAAAATAATCTGATGTTCGATAGCGACTTGAAACAGGACAGAGTCACCTGGAGTTCTGCTGAGAAGTCGTAACCAGTGAGGTTCGCATCCAGTCAAGTTTGAGGATGGATGTCCCACCGATGATATTAGTTATTGCCAATCGCGCTAAAATCACAAATTCGTAGAAGTTAAAACTCATGGGCTGGCCACTGAGGAGTCGGGTCCCACAGTGGCTCAACGGTATACGAGCCAGCTTGTCTTATAGCCGGAAGGTCTTGGATTCGAACCCCGGCGTTGGGTGAGTACTTTCGATGATTCCCAAACTAGTGAGATGAAACAGCTGTCTGTCCAGTACTCCGGTACTGGTTTTCAATAGTTCTCTGAATTGAAAACATTTATTTCCCGATACGAATTTAAAACAAGCAATAAAAGTTATTAAAGCAGGATGATTTAATGAATTCAGGAAATTTCGGTAGAACTCCTCAGCTGAATACTCTACATACACGGACATACATATATACTTTTGAAATTACATTGAGAGATATAAGAATGATAAGTAAACAAACTACATTGAATTAGTCATGCAGAAAGACAGGTGCGAATATTTTCCAGTTCATATTCAAATAGATAAGGGGAAAGAGAGAGAGTATGAGAGATTAAAATTAAGACAAAATGCATTACGCTTCAATTACATCACTTAGATAAACAATTAGACATTAGAGAATATAACAAGAATCGCAAATGTATTACCATGGTAGATTCAGAGTCACGACTATCTCCTTTTGTACACAGAGACCTGGTTTATAAACACGAATATCACAAGCCTCTGTGCAATTGCAAGTATCTTCTTGTTTCTTTGTTTACTGACAATGGTGAATGACTTGACAGCGCGTCGATATCATGTCCACCGTAATCCACAAGATGTTTTGTTATTGAAGATTTTCGCACTTTGCACTCAGCTGTTGTCAACCATTTTAAAAAATGCTCCATCATGCGAGGAGACAATTGCCTTTCCATACGACCCATGTATTTGCTTCCTCCCACAAACACACTCATCAAATTGATATACGCAGTTTGACTGAAGTGTTGAGGATTGGCGACTGGTCTTTCCCAGATTGTTAGCAGCACTCGCTTGGTGGTGTTAAGGATAACAAGTTTTGCAAAATAATAATAAGTTTTCTTGATGGCTTTGTCGAGTCTTCGTCTGACTACTTCCTGTACGTCATCTCCTTTGAACGGCTAACTAAATAATGCCAATCCGTGATCAACTCGTCAAAAGAATAATTAACAAATAATACTAATAATCACAGCAATATTTAAGTGTTGGTTTGTAGGGATTTGGTTGATTGGTTACGGGACTTCATCATAAGCTGACATTGGTTAGAGAACCATTGAAAAACCTGTGAGTATTGGACAGCTGTTTCGTCCCATTGGTTTAGGGTTCTTCAACACTACGCACCCACCCACACGGTTCGAACCCAGGAGCTTCTGGTTACAAGGCCAACGAGCTCGTAGACCATTAAGCCACTGGGACCCGATCCAACAGCCAATGAATCTCGCCTTCTACCAATTCACGATATAGCACAGCCGCTAGCCAATGTCAACGCTGGCGAGTATTTGTCCTCACAACCGACCTGATGCACCTCATCACAACAACAATAATAATCACAATATCATATAAACTAAAATTTGATATTCATCAGAATTTTAAATTATGTCGAGATTTAGTTGCGTAGTAACAGTCGAACAGTTAGTACGCATAAGTGTGTCAGTAAGTTAATCTGTCAATTAAACATGCCAATGGAATAATTTTTTCCCTCTACCTTTGCATAGTATAAACATATTGATGAACATGATCTATTGTGATTGAAATCCACCTGACATTTGATTTAATGGTAACAATAATAATAATAATAGTAGTAGTAGTAGTAATAGTAAGAATTGGTCACATATCTAATACTGTTATCAATAATCCTCTGTAACTTGTATTTGTAGTAGTATAAGTCGAGGTATCACTCACTCGTCAGGATGATATGATGTTTATATTAATAGTGTAAATAAATTAGTACACAGCATCTGAAGACGAAATACACATAAAATTCTAAGTAAGTAAGTGAGGATAATTAGTGAAGAAGAAGAAAAGGGGCAAGAAGGAGAATAAGAGTAGAAGAAAATGAAGTGAAGGTGGACGAGGATAGTGAAAATAGATGACTGCATAATTTGTGCAATAATTACAGGACAGTTCATAGTAAAAAAAAAAGAAAATTATGACATGTTTTGACATTTATTTTTTCGGGGGCAATTGGGTTAAGGGGGGAAGAAGAGTAAGATTACATAATGTATTAATAATGATTATATTTTCGACTATATATTATTTGATTGCATGGAGGATTTAATCATGAGCTGACATCAGTTAGAGAACCTCTGAAAAACCTGGGAGTACTGGACAGCTGTTTCGTCCTAGTTTGGGACTCTTTAGCAGTATGCACCCATCGGGATTCGAACCCAGGAGCTTCTGGTTACAAGGCCAACGAGCTCGTAGACCATTGAGCCACTGGGACCCGATCCAATGGCCCGTGGATTCTAACTTCTGTCAATTCACGACATAGCGCGACCACTTCGCAATGTCTTCTTCGATGAGTTACTGCCTCATCTTCAACCTGCTGTACCCTACTGGTATATATTATTTCACTAAAGGTAGTCACATTGATGTTTTGTTGATATAGTTGGCTGGTTGGTGGAGGCAATCAACCCCAATCAATCATTGCATTTCCTGACTTAAAGGCGGTATTCGATTCTGTCGACCGAGTGGTACTCTGGTGATGCTTGGCCATGAAGGGAATGCCAAGAAAAGTACATTGCACTGATTAAGGCACTCTACTCGTACTCATTCCATCAGCCAGGTGAGGGCTTACGGCAAGTTGTCATCTGAAGTGGTGATGACTAGTGGTGTCCGACAGCAAGGGATGCCCATTATCCCCATTTCTTTTCAACTTCTTCATGGATGTACTAATGGATTTAACCCTAACTGCTGACTTCAGCGACTCAGGGATTGACTTGTTACCGTCAGGGAATAATCTCGTTGACTTAGAATATGTAGACGATGTAATCCTTCTAGGAGAGGACGCTGAAAAAATCCAGCAGAGTTTTCTGAACACCTTGAGCTACAATCTACGAATGTTTGGCATGTGATTAACTCCCGCCAAATGTGAGATGATGTTACAGGACTGGACCAAACTGACTCCTAGTTTAGAAATAGGGAGTGAATTGGTAGAGCATGTTAACCGCTTCACTTATTTGGGAAGTTGCATCAGCCAGTGCCAAAGAGTTGGTCTCTGAAGAAATCTCAGCACGGGTACAGAGGGCTAGTTTCGAATATGCCAGTTTACGCCGTCTCTGGATTAGTAGACGTGATATCCAGCTGGCAGTCTACCAAAGGGCGTGTGTACTGCTCATCAGTCCGCTCCGTCCTCCTTTATGGTTGTGAGACCTGGCCATTGAGAGTGGAAGACATGAAAAGACTAGCTGTCTTCAATCATGGGTGCCCGAGTTCTATCTCCCGTATGAAGTGGTATAATAAGGTGAATAATATTGAGGTTAGACATTGGCCGAGTGCTAGGTAAGCAGGGGAAATCAATCGACGAGGCTGTTAGGCTGCATCGATTAAGATGGTTAGGATATGTGTTCCGTATGCCTAGTCATCGCCTTCCTCGACAATAGGCAATGTTAACTGGCTGACATAGAGTCAGGCTAAAAAAGAACTAGCGGAGGTCATACCAAAACATAGCATCAGTCAACGAAATCCACAACAATTAGTTTAAACTGGCCAGTCATATAGGAAGGTGTAGAATTCGCGGTCGGAGTCTTCAGGACGGTGAACATCAATGGTTGGAAACATTTGATGACATGGCTCAAAATCGTTCTCAATGGCTGGGCCGTGCAGATGCATCCACTCCTTGTGACTTATGAT